CAGAAACTAGATTGGCATACACTTTTGATAAAGATAATCTGTTTCAAAAAGAAGGTTACACAGTTCAACAGTTAAAATACTCATGTCTCTCAAGAACATGATAAATGACATTTTTCACTTAAAACAGATTATAACATGAGCACCAATAATTTTCTAGGTACCAAGAGTAACAAGTAACATGCCACACAGTTTTCAAGGCAATAAGCCCGTTGGATCCAATATCGAACCAAGAGTCATCCTTAGGGTGGCAACCCGGGCCTTTTCTCTAAAACGATCCAATCGAAGGTCACCTAGCTTAGCCTAGGTCTTTTCCTTACAATCGTTAAGCACTAGAGTCATCATAGCCTAACCCAGATATGCTCCCTAGTAGCTAGGGTCACCACACACAGTGGAATAATTTCCCTAGACTAAAATATACAGATGGTCCCGATAATCAATACAATTTAGTTTCACAAAACATGGTAGTTCACCATTATAAAAAATGAGACCATAACAAATAGTTTACAGTTTGCCAAGTTTACACATGTTTCAAAAATAATTTAATTTCATTGATAATATAATGATTCATCAAAACAATTTAATCTTGAAACAACAATTTAATTTTTCAACAGTTCAGGATAGGGGGACATTTATAAAAATATGTAACATGCAACTACTCACTTGAAAACGGAATAATGTTATCCTCGAATAGAGTATAAAAGTCTAACTAGTGCCCTGAACCAAGTATGAAAACTACAGGTCACTATTAATTTAAAAATACTAAAGAATAAGAAACTAAGTAACCCCAAACTAAAGTGGACTAACAGGGCTCGACCCAACTCACCCTTACTCTTAAATATTACCTAAGCTCATGTTCTTCAAGGTCTAAAATCACCCAAGACATGGGTTCAAATCGAAACTTAATTAAAAGTAACTTTAAGATAAAACAGAATGTTAAACAAGCTTTCCCAATCTATTCACTACCTTTGAAAATTACAAAACCCACTCCATGCTATTTGAAAAATTCCAAAACCCTCCAAATATCAACTAATATATCATAAGTTTCAAACCTAATTGGTTTTACTTGATTTGCTTGTCAAAATAATTATTTACAATTAATTATATCCAAACATGTCATTTTCTACAGCACTTTAAATAAATTAATGGTTTTCTTAGTTTACACGAACAATCAATGCAAAGCCAAAAATGTAATAAACTAGATTCGTAACCGGTTCTAATGACGCTGATCTAATAATCTTGGGATTTATACCCAAAGAGAACGAAACTTTCGAAGTTACTGTTTTGCACCAGTTTTCTGGACAGATTTGAACGCACCAGTTAATATGGATTTTGACTCCCAAAAATTATGAGAAAATTCCAACATGCAATGCAATATGTAATTAATCTACTATAAAAATTTCAGTTCAAAATTCTTCTGTTACTGACTTGGCACCCAAACAACACATCCGTTCCTTCTATTCCTTCTCAGCAACAAGCAGATAACACACATGAATCATCAACACAATATATAAATATAATAAAATAGGACAATACCTTAGAGTTGTTGAGCCACAAAGGTGCTGGAAGTTCCTTTCTCTCCCTCTCTCTTTTCTATCTCTTGCTCTCTCTTTCTCCCCAACTCTCACGTTGCTAGGCTGCTGCTGCTGCTATATTGTATTAGGCAACCTAGGGTTACATTATGTATCTAAACAAAAGGCCCTAAAATATTATCTTTTATTTTAATTTATTTTCTCTCTCCATTAATTTAAATAAAATAAAAATATTATTAGATCAAAATATGCTTACTAATTTTCCACTTATTTTATTTTATTTTTAAATAATAAATCTTACCTCTAAATGAAAGACTTTTGCCATAAATTTATTTTAGGATTTAAAATTAATTAAAAGACCCTCCAATAATATTTAGTTTGCATTTACAGATTCACAAGCAAAATATTTGAGATTGTAAAATAATTTTTACTTAATTATTTATTTGATTTGTATATTTGGATTCTCACATCGAACTCCACCCTTTTCATCAACAAATTTATTCATTTCATCTTTTCAAAAATCCAATGTCATTCCTTTTTTCTTCATGGATCAAACATTAATGATTTTCAGATCACACATCGTTTACTTTAAAAAAAATAAAAAATAAAAAACAGGTTTACAGAAGGGATTTCTAACATTTCAACATTTTTCAATAATAAACACACACCCCACAACCTTTCTAAAGAACTATTTTGAAAATTCCTTTTTTACATTTCAAAATCCAGACCCTAAATCAAAATCCCCGTCTCCTCATTTTCAATACTTGACAAGAAACACATGACTAAGTTAAGAATCATACTAGAAGGTTAAGAATCATACTAGAAGGTTGAAGAAATTCCCACTTCAAAAGAAAAAGAGCAAAAGAGCAAGTATTGAAGTCAAGGTTCTAAATATTGGCCGGTACGTGCCGTACCGGCCGGTTCATATCGGAAAATTGGAGTGCCTAGTCGGATACTCACCAGTATACCGGTGAGAATGAATTTCGCGTCCGTATCGGCCGATTCCCGATACGTATCGGCCTGAATCCAATACGTGAGTGATACAGTTCCGACACAGTTCGGTATGGCTAAAAATGGAGCAAAGCACTTGCAAAAATAATTGAGCAAAGCATGCTTGTTGTGTTCGGTTTATAATGCTTGTTGGAGCAAAGCACCTGCTTCTCTCATGCTCTATTTGTATTTGTCATGCTCTGTTTTTTCTTTCGGCTAAATAAGTCATGCTTGTTATGTTCGGTTTATAATTTTATTTTATTTTTTTCCTTTTCTTTGTTTGTTATGTGGTTATTTTTTATTTATATTATGGTATGGGATAGGAATGTGATATATTTTAATATATATTTATGATTGTTCAAATATTTATATATATATATATATATTAGGAGCATTTATATATATTGAAGCAAAGCACTGCAGATCCCCATCAACCTTTATATTTGTTGACCCACTTTGTTTTTCTATTTCAGGCTCTCATGAGTTGATTAGTTTCTTTGTAGAGTCCAACATTATGTGCACCGAATTCTGAATCATATTTTTCTCATTTAATCATTTTGTTTGAAAAATTATCTAACATTATGATGATAGGTGGAGGTTAGTATTGTATTAGTACCAAATAAAAGCTTGAGACTAAAACAAATACATATCATTTAGTAGAAAATGAGTCAAAAGTGCCTTTACATATCAAAATTTTGATTAAAATGTGGTAAATTAAGGCTAAAAGAGTCAAAAAAAAAAATGCATCAAAATTGAGTTTTAGAGGGCTTGCTAATGATTTTTGAAATTTCACAGTCGCGATGCCCGATAACCGATACGTATCGGTCGATACTATCGATACCGATACTCCGCGATCGATACAGTTACGTTACCCGATACCGCGATTTAGAACTATGGTTGAAGTTTGACAAAGTCGAAAATAAAGTCTTTTCTGATTAGATTGACCTCCACGACAAGCTCTATGTTTTACTCCAAAGCAAAATGGTGATGAAATCAAAGGATTATGGTGTATGGGCGGGTTTTAAGCAAAAACTAGAGAGAGAATGGGAATTAATTAGGTTTTGAAATGTTTTAGAGAGAAAAAAAATGAAAAAGTGACTAAAAATTCCTTTTCCTAATCTGATATATGCACAAACTACTCGAGTGACCAAAATACTGCTCGAGTATCAAAAACAATAAGTGAAACTGCTCAAGTAACCAAAAACACTACTCTAGTGCACAATGACCCCGTCACAGAAGTTTTGCTGACTATAGAAGATCATTCGAGCACAAGAAAGACTGCTCGAGCGAAGATTACTCTACTCTTAAAAGTTTTGCAAACCTGCAAAAATATTGAGAGATCTCAATGACCGCTCTAGCGACCAAAACACCGCTTGAGCAAAGAAGAAAGGAACTGGACAACAACTCTTTTGAAAACTAACTTCTAACCTATTTCAAACACAACCGATAACTCCAAGGTCAGCAATAACAAGATAAGAAGGAGCACATACAACGAATAAGAGTATCGGATACAAGATCCTAGAAGATGATAAGGGTCAGGTCTAAAACGGAACTGTTATAGCTTGGGCTTTTGGTAGAGACAAGAAAGTTTGAGCAGTGGTTGGGCTCAACTCATGCTTAGGTAGATCTCTTTACATTTCAGATTGAGAGTGGACAAACTCTAAACCCAATTGGGCTCACTCTAATTGGAACTTAAGCATCTATTGGTTAAGGCAACGAAGCAATCTATTTACTAAAAAATTAATTTGGTTAAATAAGTTTAAAATCATTTGACAAACTCAATTCCCACAAATAAATAAATAAATAAAAGGGTGTTCGCTTTTAGCCACTAAATGACTTATTTCCTACCAAATAGCCCATTATACAACCAAACCCAATATATATATTTGTGATTTTTCTATCCTGCCCTTATCCATGCTCTTTATAGCATTCTTAGACTTTTATTCAACAGTAAATTAGTCATTTTACTTAAAAATCCAAAATGATAATAAAGTTATCAAGCATGTCTATGGTAAAAAGTCAAACTAGCAACATACCTAACAAATTAGACTTTTTAATAGATTGCCATTGAGTTTGAAAAATGGATACAATTTCTAAGTTACTACTCTTTTGTACATCTATTTTTAACTTCAAAATGATGCCATAATAGAAAGGGAAAAGTTGCAATCCAACTCATTTACAGACCCAAACACATACCCATAAAGAGAGCGAGTGTGTGAGACCAATATGCATGTAAGCATGACCTATACATTCATAAAGATTTGTGTTCACATATATAAGCGGGTGTGATTGTAGCATTGCTCATAAATAAAGAGTTTAAATAGACCAAACAGTCCAAAACAACTTTTTAAAAGCCAGAAGCCATAAATTGGCTTAAAAAAGCTGCACCAAACACCCCCATAAGCGGGTGTGATTGTAGCATTGCTCATAAATAAAGAGTTTAAATAGGCCTAAAATGCCCAAAATGGAAAACAGAGGACAGGGAAATAAAAAAGAACTGACGATTATAATGATAACAGGAAAGTCTTCAAACAAGCAAACCAGATTAACGCCTCTGGCATATATATTGAGCAAATAAAAACCAAGTACACTTGGATATATAATTAACTACACAAATTTGCTTAACATCCTTTGGATCCTTTATTTATTATGGATATATAATGAAACAGATTCTATGTATATTTGGATCCGAAACAACCAGTATTCATCTACCATAATCACACAGCTGGAATACTTTGCTCATTCCTGAAGAAATTACCAGGATCAACCATGCTCTTCACATGTACAAGTCTTTTGAAGTTATTACCGTAATATTTTAAACCCCAAATGCTTGCTTGTGTATAGCTTGTGTTGCCTTTGTTATTCACTCCCAAGTCAAGGTCTCTATAGTTGAGATATGCAGCTCTTGGGGACTTGGAAACATAAGGAGCCATGAAACTGTAAAACCATCTGGTCAAAGTCATATGCCTATTCAGTGCAGCTTTCCCTTCTTCAGCCCATACGACTGCATAATGGATGTTGTATATGGTTCCAGATCTATGAGGGAAAGGCGTTTCAGACTCCGAAATCTCACTAATTCTTCCCCCATAAGGACTGAAAAGAATTTCAGAGAAGTCCACCTTCAGGTTCTTGTAACTTTCCCATATGGTGTTGAGCCCCTTTTCAGAAATGGGTTCAGTCACGAAGTCTGATTTTCCTTTGAAATAAGCACCCTGGGAAGATGTCCTATTCAGCAAGATATCAGGTGATTCTCCACTAAAACCTGCGAAATATAGTATTGATTCGATCCAGCTCATTTCAATGCAGTCTTCTTTCGCCAAACCCAGCTCAGGGAAGCTTTCTTGCATCACTTGAAGGAGTCTATCAACTCCGCCAAGGTACAAGGAAACAAACGATGCTTGTACTGTTACCTTCCCAGGTTGAGTACTGGAATTCACTCTTCTTAAAAAGAGCCTGAGCAGCAGGTTTTCATCAATCTTGTCCGCAACATATTGCCACCGATGAACAACCTTGGTTGCGTTTTGTTCCAAGGTTCTGTTTACGGTGAAAACAGTCACGGTTTCTGGAATAGCAAGAAGCTTAATTTTCCATTCTAGAATAACACCAAAACTAGCACCTCCACCTCCTCTAATGGCCCAAAATAGGTCCTCCCCCATGGTTTTTCTGTCAAGAATTCTACCATTAACATCGATTAATCGAGCATCAATGATGTTATCAACAGCAATGCCAAATTTACGTGACATCATGCCATAACCTCCGCCACTGAAATGTCCACCAATACCCACAGTAGGGCAAACTCCGGCTGTAAAAGCAAGAGTTTTACTTTTCTGAGCGATGGTGTAGTAAAGTTGTCCAAGAGTTGCACCAGATTGAACCCATGCAGTGCTGCTCTCAGTGTCAATGGTGATTGATCTGAAATTTACTAGATCAATGATGACAAATGGGTTTTCATGAGAAACATAGGAAAGACCCTCGTAGTCATGGCCACCACTTCGAACCCTAATATGCATGCCACTTTGTTTAGAACAATAAATGGCTGCCTGAATTTGGGCTTCTTGCAATGGTGTGACAATAACTAGGGGTTTTGGGGTTTCCGGTGTAGTGAATCGTAGATTTCGTATGGAGGATTCCAAGACAGATGAATACGAAGAGTTGTGGCGAGTGTAAATGACTTTTGAGATTGAGTTGGAGTTTGGAAATTGAAGGGATAGACAGTGAAGAAAATCCTCATGAGAATCAGCTGAAATGGAGGAGAGAAGAGAAAGAAGTGAAAGAAGTGAAACCAATGAAGCAATTAGAGTCTTCATTTTGAATTGCTGATGATAGATAAGGTTATAGGCTTGTTATTTATAGTGCTTTTGAGCTTGCTTTTGCTTGTGTCGTGAGAAACACAACTTAGAATTTTCTACGTTCTAGATTGAATTCTTTCTTTCTCCACAAGAGATATAAGAGAGTAAATTCAAAGGAAGAAATGTAAAACCCTACTTGCGTAGGAATTAAAATTTATTATCAGCGGTGCGGTCACATGGCTAGCAATCGTAATATTATATGAAATCTTGATATTTTAATTTTGATTTTATAATATATTATTTCAAATTTCTTTGCAATTTTCTGAATGTATTTAGTCCTAGAGTTGATTAAGGTAGGAGAAGTTAGACCAATTATAAAGATATTAATTTAATCAATAACTCTATTCATTATTTAAAAATTTTATTTTTCATGAATATCTTCAATTTATAACATGCGTTTATAAATTAAATTCAAAACGTTTAATGATAGCAAAATTTATCATAAATTTGTGCTATACATAATATTCTTTGTAGCAAAAACTAATGATTAAATGACACTTTCTTTTTTATATAATATTTTTACAAACTCAAAAAATGAAAAACATTATCTACGTTTATGTATAATATATTTCATAATAAGAGTTTATTTGTAAAAAACATTAAAACTAAATATTTTTTATATAAAGATTTCAAAAAAATCATAACGTAATATATACATATGTATACAAACATGATAATAAATTAGCAAAAAATAAATGTGTTTTCAAATTAATGGTGGTGATTGCTACAGTAATGGTGGCGGTGGTCGTGGTGTGGTGACATTGGAAAAAGTAGAAAATATTTTCTTCTCAAATAAGTTTTTTTTTTTTTTTTTTATTGACCATACAAAATGTTTGCCGTTGACACTACAAGAAAAAGCACTATTGGCGACTAAAAAATCACATTTCGTCGCTGAAAGTATAGCATTTGGCGACTAAAAATACATTAGTAGCTAAAAGTAAAGATTTTTGGCAAATAAAAAAATTTAGTAGCCAAAAGTATAGGTTTTGGCGACTAAAAATCTGTTTGGTCGCCGATATATGGCTTTTAGTGACTAAAAAAGTTTTAGTAGCCAAAAGTAAGGCCTTTTGGCAGCTAAAAAAAATTTAGTAGCCAAAAGTGAGGCATTCGGCGACTAAAAATCTGTTTGGTCGCCAAAAGTGAGGCTTTAGCCACTAAAAAAATTTTAGTAGGCCAAAAGTAAGGGCCTTTGGCTACCAAAAAAAAATTAGTAGCCAAAAGTGAAGCATTCGGCGACTAAAAACATGTTTAGTAGCCAAAAGTGACCAAAAGTGAGGCATTCGGCGACTAAAAATCTGTTTGGTCGCCAAAAGTGAGGCTTTTAGCCACTAAAAAAATTTTAGTAGCCAAAAGTAAGGGCCTTTGGCTACCAAAAAAAAATTAGTAGCCAAAAGTGAAGCATTCGGCGACTAAAAACATGTTTAGTAGCCAAAAGTGAGGCTTTTTTGCGACTGAAAAGAAGTTTAGTCGCCAAAAGTGGTAATTTTAGCGCGGGAAATTTTCTTTTAAAGACTAAAAAATAATTAGTAGCCAAAAGTATAGAATTGGCGACTAAAATTATGTTTAGTCGCCAAAAGTGGTCTCCTTTTTTTTTCTACTAAGTAATTTATTTTTAGATAAATTATGTTCAATAAAAAAAAATTATGTTTATATATACTTTTATATTAATACGGGTCTAAGTACTACATAAATAATATATGTTGCATATATAATCATATGATGTTATGTAGGCGTAAGGTGTAGTGGAAAGAGTGTGTTGTATAAGGTTTATGGCGTGGGAGGTTGATGGTTCGAATCTCCACAAGAGCAGGGTGTAATTTTTTTTTTTTTCCCGGGATGAGCTTTTGGCGACTAAATCTGATTCCTTGAGTATTGGTCACTAAAACATTAGTCGGTAAATATATAATTTAAAAAATATAATTGACTATTGGCGACTAAATGTATAATTTAAAAAATATAATTGACTATTGGCGACCAAAGTTTTAGTCGCTAAAGACTTGCTTTTTGGTGACTAAAAGTTTTTTAGTCGCCAATACCTTTCCTGACCGTTTTCCAGCGACCAAACCGGCGACTAAAAAATTTAGTCAGGAAAACTTAAAAACTGACTTTTGGCAACTAAAAATTGAGTCGCCAAATGTGTTTTTTCTTGTAGTGTGACTTTAATTTTTCATTATACCAAATATTAGAAAATTCGAATAATACTTTCCCGCCCAAACAAACGGAGCGTTAATTTCCTTCCTTTTTCAATTGATTGTTACAAAAAAAATTCCTAGTTTGGTGACATTACAAATTTTGCAGTTTTGTGAATTGAGAAATTTCTTAACATTAAAACAATGGAAACAATTTTTGTCAAATTATGTAATTTGTATACGTGTGTTTTATAGGAGAGATTGATTTCATTTTTTTCACTTTTAGTTTTCAATTGGTTGTTTAATGGATAATTAGAAATTGAAAAAAAGACAAAATTTCACATTTTTAAAATTAAAAATATATATATATCATGTTCATCGAGCAAACCATTAACTCACAGTTGCTAGAACGCCAACAAAGCCTAACAACTAATAAACCAATAAACCAAGCCCACCAACTATTACTAAGTACAAACAACTCCCACAATGGAGGAGAAATAAACAACTATAGACAGGAAGTCAAATCCTATGTAGTGCTAAAGTTCTAATGTAGTCAAAACGACGTCGTTTTAACTATCAAAAAAAGAAAGAAAATGAAATAAGAAATCAAAAACCAAACCAAATCCACCGGCGGCCACTTCTTCTCTTTCCATTTCCCTCCCCTCAACCTCTCTACCACCAACTACACCTCGAGCAACCCCCTAGCCCTACCGTTGCAATGCCCTCCTCCTCGCACTACCAACCACCATTGCTGCTCACACATTTATCTCTCTCTCTCTCTCTCATTCTTTTTCAGAAGGAGAGATTGAGGTGGTGACCACTCCCTCCGATGATCAGCTTCCCCAATCTCCAACCTCCCCATCATGACACCCACTTCCTTTTCCTTACACCACTACTAACTGTTATTGCCGCCCCTCTCTCTCTTGCTCTCCTTCTTATTCTTCTTTAGAAAATAGAGATTGAGGTGGTGACCGCTCTCTCTGGTGATCAACTTCCCCAACCTCCAACCTTGCCATCGTGGCACTCCCTTTTTTTTTTCTCATACCACTGCTAACCGCTATCGCCACCTCTCTCTCTCTCTCTCTCTCTCTCTCTCTCTCTCTCTCTTATTCTGCTTCTTTTTCTTCCTTCTCCTTCTTTGCCATCTGGTTTTTCTTTTTTCTTTTTTCCTTTTTCGTAGCTACCATCCCAAACCATGGATATAGGGTTTACAATGGCGACAGCAAAAAAGAAAGAAAAAGAAGAAGAATGTAGTGGTGTTGCTTGGAGTGGCTAGGAAGTCATCGGAGGTGGTATTGGTAGCAGTTAGACCGAATGGAGTGAAGAAGGTGAAAAGAAGAGGTCACGTTGGTGTCTGTTAATTGCCGTTCAAACCATATCTGAATCTGTAAAGAAATATAAAAAAGAAAAAAGAGAAAAATGACATTATTTTGTAGTGTAGTACAAAATGCACTACAGGGGATTCAGATTTCCTACAAATACTATCAAACTCTTTTCCATATGAGTTGAACCCACAATTTCACACCACAAAGGGATACAACCACTAGGCCAAATGACTTAATTAATTCTTAGTTTTCGAAATTGTGAAATTTCTTTATTGTGTGATTTTGTCATTTTACATGTGTGCATTTAAAAAAAGGGGGGGAGAGAGAGAGAGAGAGAGATTTCATTTATTTTCAATTTCAAAATTGATACTTAGCTGAATATTTGAAACTGGTAAATTTCTAAATTTCTTAAATTTTTCTCAAAAGTTCATTTGTTTGTTTGTTTGTTTATTTTTTATTTTTTTGTTGTTAAGAATTTCTTAATTTTGTATTTGAGCATTTGAGAGAGACATAGACAGAGGGATTTCATTATAAAATTCTTAGTTTCACAAATCGAGAAATTTCTTAGGTTCAAACTCTAAAACTTCTTAGTTGTGAATTTTCTCTACTGAATTTTCTATGTTTGTGTATGTATGTTTGTGTGTTTTAGAGAGAAAGAGAGAGTTTTATTTTAATTTTCAATTGATTGTCACATGAATAATTAGCAAATAAATAAAACTAAGAAATTTCTTAGTTTTGTTGAAACTAACAAACTACTTACTTTTTTAAATGAGAAATGTAGGACAAAATTTCACATTTTCATCCCAATCTCTCAATTCTAAGGACAAAATCTCTCACTGTGAATGAAATTTCACAAATTTGGAATAATTTTTCACAATTTTGAGTTGAAAATTTCATTATAGGTATGAAATTACTCAATTTCTAAAACTAACAAATTTCTTTCCTTCTCAAAATTGAGAAATTTGGTTTGGGTAAATTTTTTAAGACACAAATCAAAATAGTATAGAATTGCTACTTAGAACTAACATCAATAGTCCGTACAAAGATTTGCCTCTTTCAGTTCTATAAACAAAGTATCAAGCTAGGGGTTTTATTCGTATTTCAGCTTCTACTTACTTTCCAAATTCATGGAAAAACTTATGCCCTTCGCTAATAAAGTAAGAGTGTTTACGTACTATGGACTTTTAACACAATGAACTTTGGTTTGCATTATGTCTATAAGTTTTGACCTTGATACACTTCCAACTAGATTTATCAGCTACCTCTATCGATGTTGAAATCTTAAATAGAATGTCATTTCTCTCTTCTTCTTTTTTCAAATTATTTGTAACGAAGATACTAGTAAAAAGAGATAAAGATAGTTGGCGGCATCATTTAGAGAATGCGACATAAGGGGAGCTGAAGTCGTGAGGGTGCTTTTGCCAAAACCAAACGGTAATGGAACGTTAGTCAGAGAAATTAAAGAAGATGGTGTTTTTGACTTTAATAAAGAAGAAATTGACAAATCTTTTATCAAAGAAAGCAATGTGAG